AAGCTGAACTAGCACAGCGGTCATTTATATTTAGGCAGCCAGTGTTCTCTATCATCAAATGTAAAATTATGGTATAATTAATGAATGTAGAAAGCACGAAAGAATCCTGAAGGTGAAATCTGAAAGTAGATTTCTGGATCTGTATGAAAGGTGAATTTCCCAGTAACTGTAAGAGACTCTATATAAGCAGTCAAATTAGACTTATCATGTTGTTTCTGAACAGGTGATCCACATCAAGTATTCCAAATGGCTAACAAATTCCATAAAGAAATGAAAGTTGTCTTTATGAAAAGGATACAACTAACCACATACAATGATAACCATGAGCTTCACTTAACTCTAACTTCCTATATTAACAACCTCCTTTCCTAGTTATCTAAATCAAATGGCTTTTATTCCATACCAATAAACTGTAAATATGACTGTCTTGGACTCACAACTCACCCATAAGGAATGTGCCTTATGCTTGGAATCTTATTTTTATTGCATTAAAGCAGTACAGGAAAAACATTACCATATATATGACAAGAAATAAGATTCACATGCATAAGGATAGCATAAACTCATTGCTCAGGAATGTGATTGGTTATCCCATCTAACAGTTGGTGCCCAGGGAAATTAACACAAAACATAGAAATATAGTCAGAATATGAAGCAGCAACCAATGTCCCCTGTTCCTACCCCCCTAAAACTCCAGCATCTCTTGATAGAACGAATGCCTGAACTATGAAATTCTTTTGCTTTTAAGAAAGATATCTCAGTACAAGGATTCCATAAACTATTCAGCACTTCCAATGTCTGACCCAACTTGACATACTACTAACTTTAAAAATAATCCACATAAACCTAGGTGCAAATCAGTGTCATTAAAAACTGACGGAGGCTTAGATTGAAAAATTTAAATGTGAAAAAACACAAAAAAGGTTTCTTGTTTCTAGGTATTTTAATGGAAACACGTAGGATCAGATTTCAAAAAGTAGGGTAAAATTTAAACGCTGCCAGTACATCTAAAAAGCTGAATACAAAATAAATAAAAGGAGTACCTACATTTTTTTAAAATAAACATAATACCAATAAGGAAAACTTAATTCTACAACGATTTCAAGTTATCAACCAAACTACATGATACAGAAAAATCATTTCAAAATTTTCATCTCCATAGCAGTGTTTGAAGTTGACGGGCTCTCTGAAAGAGCTTAAAATCTTAAATGACTCGCAATTAGCCCACAATTCATATTAAATTAATCTGCTGACCTGTTGTGGATAAACATTGATAAATTCTGCCCTGGTTAAGACACATTTAACTTTTTCTTCCAGGAGTGTGTGTGGGGGTGTGTGTCTGCAGGGGAGGGGCAACCCCTTTTGACCGGACAGTATTTACAAGGGTTCTTTTTTTTTCTCTTATGCTTCTTTTTCTCCTATTCTGCACTGCAAAACCTAGGCTCATAATGCCTGCCTCGACTTCACCCTTGTCCAATAACACCATATGGTTCCCCCAATTTCCGCGCAGGATGGCACCTGAGGGCCAACCCCTGCGGCTGGCGCTAGCAAGGCGCGGATAGGGCGGATGGCTGTCACAGGGGAGCAGGCGTGGGCCAGAGCCGAGAAGATTTCTGACCGCTCATGGCCGGGCCCCGCGTGGCTGAAGGTCTCTGAGCCCCTCGGTTCGTCCCAGCAAGCCAGGAGTGCAGCTGTCGCGGAGCAGGAAGCTAATCGCGGCCCTTGCGCCGCTTTTGACAGGCCAAGCTGGAAAAACAGGGAGCTCACTGCAGCTAGTAGCCTCACCCCTTGGGCTAGGAAATCCCGAGAGCAAAATCCCCGCCCTGGCCCGAAGGTAAACTGGAGACCAGGGAGACTCAGCCACCGACTCAGCCCAGTCCGGCAGGGGCCCGCCCAGGGGCCACTCCCCAAGGGAGGCAGCCAGTCACTCGCCCGCCCTTCCGGGCCCGCTACCTAGGGGATGGTCTCCCGCCCGTCCTCACACACGGCTTCTCAAGCCAGGCCCCCAGGGCTTCGTGCACCTCTCACCTTTGACGACGCGGTCAGCCCCGGGAGGGGGCGGCGGGGGCGGGGGTGGGGGCGGTGCAGCCCGGGCCGGCTCCGGGGCGGCCATGCTGGGCCCGGGG